CAAAACCCAAAAGTGTTTAATGTACGACAATTTAGAAAAAAAGGATGCTCACATTTAGGAAGCAGCACATGAAAATTAATGTTAAATGTCATTCATTTTCTGGTGATTGATTCGATTAATTTCAGCACTTTTTCTTTTTTAATAAAAAAAATGTGGTTGTCCACTACGGTTACTTTTCAGTCCGCTTGGTAAAATCCTTGGCCAGGAGATGGAGAAACGATAATGATTGAACTTCATGTCCTTCATCAAGGTAACGTCATCCTTAAAAACAGACAGCAGAAAATATTTTCAAACTTGTTCCAGTTGGTGGCAAAGACAAAACAAAAGATTGTTGCATCTGTACATGTAAAACATGACAGTAATAGACCGTAAATAGGTTTCTGTAGCAGTAAAACACTGATATCTCATGGCAAAACCTTTATTTATATGGCATTTTAAAGGAATTTATAAGGGAATAAAGTTTTTTTTTAAATATTTTGTGCGACTGTAAATTGCAAAGAAAACTACCGTCATAGCATATATATGGTATTTTCATGGTAACAATTTCTATTTATACGGTAAAATATGGATTAAAACTTAAAATCAACAGTATAATATCCTTTTACTGTAATAGTAGAAACAGTTCTACCGTATTTATTATGGTAAAGTTCTGGCAACCATAGCTGCCATCTTTTTATCGTAAAAAAATTATCGGTTTTATTTCTGTAAACTCTCCTTAACAGGTGTCCATGTAATTAAATGGACAGGTCAGCACGACCAACTAATTGGCCAATATTTTGGTGACATTTATATATTTTACCATTAACCTTTTAAACTCCAGCAACCCTCAGAGTCATGCTCTGCAAGAGTTAGATGAGAACTTCAATACCACCCTGGAGCCTGGATGATCTTAACTTAGCACAAAGATGGGAAACTGGGGTAAATGACTAGCCTAGCTCTCTCGCAGTGTTTTTTACTAAAGTAAAAACTGGTCAAGGCTAACTGTTACATACACACATAAGAGTGGTATCAATTGCCATCGTCTATTTGAACGTATAAGAACGTGTATTTACCACAATTTTTTACCTTTTTAAATTCTAGTGAATATCTCAAGGTCTGCAAAGATGCCAAATATGGATAATTTTATCTTAAATGACGTACATCTATATACTGTCAGACAGTGAGGAAAAAGAAACTTTTTCTGACCTTAAAGTTACTTAATTTGAAACTCTGAAAAATATAAACACTTTATTTAACTTAGTAAATAATGTTTTTAGATTCATTTCAAAACAAAATTTTCTTTTGCATGTCACCTTGAATTTGTAGTAGCCCTCACACGAGGAGTCTCCCGTGTCATTTGAGAATATTTTCCCCTTTTTGTGGGCAAATGCATCCCAGATGCTCATTCCTTTGCCATCTATGTTCCAAGCTCCTTCAGTCTGATAGGCAGAGCTGCCAGCTCCCCAGGAGAAGCCTGCAGAGGAAAGCAAAGACAACGAGAAATGTCAACACTTTGCAGATGATTATAGCGTTTACTTTGGTAATGACTTTGGCAGTCAAACATGTGTCGTACCAGTTGGGAAGGTGCCGTAGTAGAAAGACGTTCTCTCATTCTTCGTCCAGTCAAAGTCATCACTGGCTGACACAAACAGCACCAGAGTAAGCACATGGCACGGCCTCAGGATGCACCGCTGCAGCATCGTGGTCTTTGGCAAGGAGCTCACTTCCTTCAGTTACACCTAAAGGACAATAATTACCGAGTTTGAACAGATTACGCAGTAGGCATCCAAAACCTTCAAACAACTACAAGGCTACATCTCCTCTTCTACCCTGAGCTAGATAAGGACAGATCACAGAGTATACAGATATGTTAAAGTAAAACAGAGATTCAGAAACTCACGCAAAGGTGTCAGGTGTCCACAGGTTTTGAGTAAAACCATCCTAACTCAACCCCCAAAACTCATTTGTTAGATATCCACTGAAAAAACAGCCAGTCATTATCAGACCTCAAGGATATAAAGGAAGAATCTAGTTTCATTTCAGCCAGCTGTAAGACACACTGACACAAAACGCTATCAGAGACAGAAAGTAAGCCAGCTTGTCCAGCACAGTCAGGATGAGCGACATTTCAAGCTGAGGTAAATCTTCAGTGGTGCAAAAGATAACCAAGATTAAAGAATAAAAGCGGGTAAAAAATATATATAAAGTTGCCTGAGAGTCCTCCTTGCCAAAGCCTGTGCTGCCTCTCTCCCTTACATCTGTCCCTTTGCTCAGTGTCTATCTCAGCCCCAGCCGCCTCACTCAGAACCACATATAGATGTCTGACCTGCTGCATTTGTCTTCGCTGGAAACTGCTCCAAAATGCAAGAAACGTCCCCAAGCTTCTGGACCTAGTTAATGCTCCGCAGTGTCACCGGCAGGTTCACTGCCAGTGTTACAAAAACAAAACAGGGTGAAGCATCCAGGACATTTTCTGCTATTCATCAGCCCCACATACAGCAACAACCACCCCAACTCCCCCCCCTCTGCACACACACACTGAATGCCGCTCCATTTGAAGTCAGTGAAGTGTGAGGGTAAATTTGCTGGGGCAAACAGATCTTTTGGAAAAAGTAGGGAGTTTGTCACTGTAAGCAAAGTTAATGTTAGTGAGCCCGATCCATTCGCAGCTTGGTCTCATAACATGAGTGTATTTACAACAGAAAATATTGCCACTGAATGAGCACAGATGTGTATAATTAACAGTAAAAGACAAGTAGAAATAAACATGCAAAAAAAAAGATCACTCTTATTATCCCTCAATGTTTTTATGGTAAAAAAACTGGCAGCACCTTTACATTAAAAGGATATTAGCACTGTTGACTTTAAGTTTTAATTCACATTTTACCTTATAAATACAGATTTTTACCAGCAAAAGAAACATATAAATACACCATATGAAGGCTATGACAGTGGTTTTCTGTGTAATGTGCAGTCTGTAATATACAAAAAGACTGAACACATACATATGAATACATTTCTTTAAAACACCATATACATTTTTTATAGTCAGCAGTGATTGGTGGTGTTGATGAAGGATCTACTGGAGTTCATCTGAAGGTTGGGAACCATTAAAATTCAGAGCATTTCCATACAGTGACAGTCACACACAGACTTCAATAAGCAGAAGGTTTATTAAAGCCCCTTTTGATTACTTTGTGCGTCTTGTATTACAAGCCTTTATGTTGCATGTTTTATATATATATATATATATATATGATGTTTTTTCCCCAGTAGCATTAATATTTATCTTTTCTTTTTATTATTGTTCTGCATGATTATAAATGATCTGAATAACTTGTAATAACCTTTACTCTTATATTCTGTTGTTAAAATCTCTCCAAAGACTACAGATAAAAAAAATAGCCTCTTCGCTAACTTTGCCACATTTACAGCAGTGTTCATTAATGTGCTCTGTCCTTGTTAAACAAACAAACAAACAAATAAATAAATAGATAAATAAGGACTGCTAAAAAATCTTACTGCCTGCAGATAATCATTAAAATGAGTGGTTACCCAGTAGTCTGACCTGGAGTGTTATCAATGACAATGGCGTGTGCTCTTTTCCTGCACCCGGCGCCGTCTATCTCGTCAATATTTTGGAGGCCAGGTTACCAAACCGCATTATTAAACCTCCTGTAAGCACACTTTCAATAGTGCAATTAAAAAAAAACTAATACAAGCTTCTGTGGACACACTAAACTCTTTCAAGCATCTAAGAAAAGAAGAGTATACAGCTGGTGTTATGTAGAGCGTAGCTGGACCAAGCTACATATCAGTAGATGGAGACAAAGGAAACAACATAAGTAACTTAACAAATAACAAGGTTGTCCTTTTTGAATGAAAATTGTTTAAAATTTTCTGATTAATCCAATAGACCTTTTTCACAGCAGCCATTTCGACATAGTAAACACAGATGTTGATCATACTAATTAGGTTTATGTTGCATTCAGGGCAAACAGAGTCAGGCTGCTCTTTTGCATGTTAGCTTCACCCATCAGTTTGTGGAGCACCGTTTTGGTGTGATGGTCATCGCCATGACAGTTTGTCCTCCAGCGGAGGTGACGTACCGCAAGTTGAGCTGCTGTCATTGGCTGCTCAGTGGTTTCACAGTGGTTCCCAACCTTTTTTCCTCCCGCAGCCGAGTCCGATGAACTCAAGTTCCCGTCCATCAACACCACTATTGATGTTCCAAATGTGTTACTATCTCAAAATAATGAGTTAGTATCACAAAGTCATTACAAAGTTTCTCATTATATTGACTTACAGAATCTTTCCCCGTCACATTGGCACTAGTGGGCTTCCATAGAGAACTTAGTGATTTTGGGCTATAGAAATAAAAGTCTCAAAGAATATGTAATTAAACACTATGTCAGATATGTAAATCAAGTCTACATCACATCTCTAAGATTTAAATTTAAACGACGACTGAACCAGCAGCAGCAGTCTGATCTGTAGGTCAGGTTCATTGAGGCTCAGAGGGGGGGCCGCTAGGGCAGACCGCACCACCCCCCCACCTCAGGGTCATGACCTCCTCAGTGAATACAGTGAGCTGGAGCTGGCCCTGCACAAAGCCTGAATACAACCATTATCATAAGGTGCATTGTTTACAGAGCATTGTTGTAAGAAAAAAAAAATGCTGAATTGTTGAAAGCCGAAAGTGTTGGCACTGCACTCTCACATTTACATGTTAGTGTGCAGATTGTGTGTGTGTCTGTATATCTGCATGCACTCATCTATTTCAGCTGCATGTGTGTGTTTGTATGTTTTTTTTTGTGCTCTGCATGCGGTTGCAGTGTTTGCAGCTGGTGATGATGTGTGTGCGGACTGAGAACATGAGCGCGGTTGTGTGTTGTTTAGCATATCAATGGCATCCAGGGCCCCGATGACTGTTGCAGAACCACTCTGAGCTTTCTAGTACCTGTCGGCTCACCTCTACTTCCTGTATTTAAGGGGCTTTCTTGTTGCCTCGCCGAGCTGACATGAACATCTTTACTAAGGTCCCAGGATTAGCCCAACAAACCAGGTATGTCGAGAGTGCCGCGCACCAGCCGGGGCCCACAGAGTCAGACCCCTCCGGCTGTGGTGGATCCACATCCCACCTCCTGCTGGTTCTCATGCTCTGACACCAGTTTCCCAAAATCACCTGAAGAGTGATAGGAGACATGCACACACAGACTAAGTCAATTGGTTTTACTTCTAAAGACTGAAGCACAGAACTTAAAGATCAGTCACAATCTGTCACAGTTAGGAACAGAGATGAAAACTATAATGTTTGTAGATCAAAATAAGATAATAATGATATTTTTAGTGGCAGTTTCACCTCCGCACACCATCATTTGTTTCTAAAGTTTCTCTGTGATTGTTCTATCGTCTGTTTGAACTATTGAGTGGTGTGTTTGGGTTACAAGTATTCATTAAAAATGCTTCTATATCTACAGCAAGCTGGGGTCTGTGCTCCAACGTGCCTTCTACGGGTCCAGTGGGAGGGTGAGTCACATAGTTAAATGAGTTATTTTGCTTTTTTTAACAGATGAGGTCCCTAATTGAAAATGTACTTGTTCTTTATCAATTCTATGATACTAAAATGTGAGTGTGTATTAACATACTTATGTACTGTATACTTCTTTCCTGTGGGGACTTCTTGGTAAACACAGAGTTTTATTTATTTTATTACGTATGTAGCGGTAGCAGATGCTAAACACATATATTTTCATAGTGTCCTGTATTCAGGGTTGCTGGACCTGTGTCCAAGAAATGAAGCTAATGCAGGCAGCATTTATGTTTCCCAGGAAAACAAAGTGATATATGAATGTAGTTTCTAAGAGACTGGGTTGCCTCAACATTTAAAGCTCTGTATAGCTCCACTGGGAAGTAAGAAATGGTATTAAAAATTCTTCACAATAGCAAAAAACTGTCTAAATAAGGCCCAAAGTGAAAATACCAGGAATTGTGTAAGTCTTTAGATCAGGTTCAATCAAGGATACGAAGGAAAAAATAAGCTATTTATAAATATCGGCAAAAATGTACATATATGTCCAGTATGCAGTAAAACATTTGTACACGTGAGAACAGACACAATGAACAGGATTTGTTCGATATTTTAGGAAAATGCGTTTTCTTGCTGAGAGTTAGATGAGATTGGTACCAATGGAAAAGAATAGAGCTTGAGCCAGAAAGTGATTAGCTTAGCTTAGCATAAAGACTGGAAGCAGAGGGAAACTGATAGCCTGGGTTAAAGAAACACACCTCCAACACCTCTAAAGTTCACTTACTACTAATAAATCTTATTTCCATCTAAAACAGAAATGTAAAACCGTCAATCTGTGGTTTTAAAGGGAGTTTACCAGGAAGTTTCTGCTCTCTGCTGTTTGAAAATAATTGACTCCACCTGACTCCCCATAAAATCACTTTACTGTAAACAGAATATTCCACTTAAAGGTGACAGATTTATCCACAACAGTGTCTGTAGTGTAGAACAGAATCATTACAGCTGGACTACAGATAATGAAAGCTTTAAACTTTATACAGTATGGCAAATAAAAGTCATATTTAGCTCATTAATGAGGAAAGCTGAGCGCTGACGTTCTACCACAGCAGGTATTTTATATGTGTAACTGAAACCGCGGTGTCTCTGCCCTCAGGTGACCCTTTTCGAGCAGAGGAACTTCGCCGGCAGGCGACTGGACCTGAGTTCTGACTGCTCCAGGCTCAGTGACAAGAACTTCCCAGAGAGATGTAACTCTGTGCAGGTGGAGAGCGGAGCGTAAGTCCACACCGCCACCTACAGTACACGATAGGTCACTGAAACACACAGACAGACCTGTAGGTAACAGCAAAGTGTCTGCAGCCTGTGATGAGCCTCAGGCCAAGAACCTGATCCAAAACCGGGATTCTTACGAGAGATATTTAGTTAAAAGTCAGAAATGAATGAAACCCAGTATTTAATTAGGTGAAACTATGTCTGGACGGCAAAGTTAAAACTGCACAGAAGTTCAAGTTTAATTTATTGTCTTCTGAAAGAGAAAATAGTCTTAAACACAGTTGTTACAAAACAACATTTAATAGATAAATAAAATAGATATACATTAAATTTGAGTTTTCAACTGCATTTCAGTGACTTTATTTTAACATGTAGTTAGGACCTGGTTCACAAAAACATACAGTCACTGAAAGCAACAGTCATATTTCCCTGATGTTTAGATAAACTGCTGGTTTTGAGTTACGTTTTGTGGAAATTTTGAATCACTAAGATTTCTTCTGTCAACCAAACTTCATGTAAATTAGTTTATATTTAATTCTTCATCAGTCTCTGACTCTCCTCTTCTTCTTCTCCGCTCTTTTAAAGATGGGTGGGTTACGAACATGAGAACTTCCGGGGCCGTCAGTACCTGTGGGACATGTCCGAGCGGGGAGAGTACAACTGCTACGACAAGTGGTGTGCTCAGGTGGACCACGTCTCCTCCGTCCGCTCCGTCAAACAGGTGAAACAAAAACACACATGGTGTCAGTACAGACAGTCAGTACAGACAGTCAGTGTCAGTACAGACAGTCATTACAGACAAGTCAGTGGTCAGTACGAGCCAGTCAGTGCAGACAGTCATTCAGTACAGACAGTCAGTCAGACAGTCAGTGTCAGTAACAGACAAAGTCAGTACAGACAGTCAGTGTCGAGTACAGACACGCTCAGTGCAGTACAGTACAGTCAGTACAGACATGTCAGTTCAGTACAGACAGTCATGTACAGACAGGTCAGTGTCATAGTAATCAGACAGTCATACAGACAGTCCAGTGTCAGTACAGACAGTCAGTGTCAGTACATCAACATCAGTAGCAGACAGTCATGCAGTAGCGAGACAGCAGTACAGACAGTCAGTGTTAGTACAGACAGTGTCAGTGCAGCTGCACACAGACTCACAGACACTGATATCACTACAGAGACCTGGGTCCAATGTGTGCACACTGTAGTTCTGCTGCATCAGTAACAGTTTTCAAAGCTCAAAGCGTTTAAAAAAAACACTTTACATCTACTAACGAGGTAGAAACTGTTGTTAAATCTGATGTTTTACAGTGTAAAAAGACCAAGCGTTGTGTGCAGGGTGTCATTAAATAAAAATATATGTTAAAAAAAAGTAAATTAGTGAATACATATTCAGTTAAAAGATTAGATTAAAAACAATTACTTGAGTGGTACTTCTCATTATTACTGTATTATATTTTTAATTTTAATATAGTTTTTGTACATAATTGCTGTTGCTGGGGAGGCTGCTTTATAGATAAAGCTGTAATATTTATGTGTTCAGAATAATATTAAAATACTGGGGAACAGTAGCAAAGTTTTAGCATCTGAAGTTCGATCCATCCTGATGAGTGAGTAAATAAGTAGTTCAATGTAATTAAGGTTACGTTCACACTGAGCGTATTCAGTAATTACAGTTGGTCAAATCAAATAACTCAGAATGTCTTCTGTGAGTATTTATCCATTTTTCCGTATTGAAAACCATTGCTGTTGTTAGCCGTCCACACATGAATCCTCGGGTTGAGTCTGTCGACCATTAAAGGCTGTGTGACAGTGCTGATCTCAAACATGTTGCAAAATGGAGTAACATTTGGCTGATCCTGTTCTCTTATCAAGACCTGTAGAGCCCAGAGGGTTAATCAGTTACTGCCCAGCACCTTAAATCTGAGTAGTCTGTCAGAGAACAGACTGTAAAGTTTTTAATTTTCTAGGCAATAACACAGAGTGTTGCACCGAGGGGAAACAATGAAGTAGATTTATGGTTGTATTTGTGCTCGAAAAGATTCCCAAACATTAGAAATAAAACTGATTTTAGATGGGAAACAACATCAAGTAAAACTGCACAATGATCTTCCAGAGCAGTGGTTCCCAACCTGGGGGTCAGAACCCCCACTAGGGGTCGCCAAAGCTTCACGGGGGGGTCACGAGGCCTTCTTGATTTTAGAAAACTTAGAGAATATACACAGTAGACTGATATCTCTTATCTATTAGAACAATGGCCAAGCTCTACCGTCCCAGGTGAAGCTCACTGGCAGTTTCTCTGTTTGTTTCTGCTGTTTCCAGGACAACAACCCCGCCAAGGCTCAGCTGTTTGAGCGGGCCGGCTTCTCCGGTAAGAAGATGGAGCTCCAGGACGACATCCCCAACCTGATGAGCCGTTACAGCCTCAACAGAGTCGCCTCCATCCGCGTGCTCGGTGGAGCGTAAGTGCGACGTCCTGCCTGATGTATTTATTTTTTGAGCACTTTAAGGACTTCTCTTCTGTATTTACTTAAAGTTCATTCTTGGCAGCAGAAACTCTGATGCTGATGAAGATTGAGATATGTCCAAAAGCTCCAGAGCAGCTACTAAATGGACCTTGTGCTTAAGATAATTTTCACAGTCGCTGTTTCTCAAGAAAGAACCGTTACAATGACACTATTTGAATATTCTGACAGACTTTATTTTCTCAGTTCATCAAATTTATAACAAAAATTAACAAAATAACAAAATTCTCACATTTAAAAAGGTGAAACCAAAGAATTGAACATTTACATGTTTGAAAAGATTCAATTGACTAATCAATGCATCAACCAATAGTTGCAGCTATCCTTAAATGTTTTTGCTTTCAAGTCTTGAGTTAAGTCTCTGGGGACCCACAGGAGTCCAAAGTCCAGTATCAAGACTACATTATTGAAATTAACCATTAAACCAGTTCTCAGTACTGTAACTGTTCATTACACTTAATGTTTAGGATCAAATTACTGCAGTCACAGCTTACATTTTGTTTTTAAAGTCAGTTAACAGCAGTGATAACCCTCCCTCTCTGTGTAGGTGGGTGGTGTATCAGGAGCCCAACTACAGAGGACCTCATTACATCCTGGAGAAGCGCGATTACAACAACTTCTCCGACTGGGGCAGCCAGAACAACACTGTGGGCTCGATGCGCAGAGTCCGCTTCAGCTAAACGCCAACATCCCCTCTGATGTAACAGGACACCAACGTCACACAGATGAAACCTGTCAGCTTTACACAAACTCTTATTTTAGTAATAAACTATAAAAAGACAAACACTTGTTTCTTTGTCATTTCATTGCTTTTAATTTCTGGACAGAAATGATTCTTGGTCAGTGAAATGTTTCATGTTTTAGAACTGGTTGCACCAACACCGTCTGGTTATTGGTGTCACCCTTATGGAGATTGTTATTAAAGACAACACATGGATCAGTTGACTCAAACAAGGCTGTTAAAGAATTTGCTATATTACAACTTAAGCCATCTTAAATATTTTATTTAACATTATGAACGAGGTAGATATGAAGAGAGGTAAAGATCAATGAATGCCACAACACGCAGGTGCATTATGCACAATGTGGACACATTAAAATGCATGATGGTGTACAAGAGATACAACTAAAGCACAGGAGGTGCTTAAGACAAACAAGGCACTTGCATCACCCATGAGGTAGACTATAAAAGCTCAAATAAACCAGTTAACAAGTCTCAAACATTTTAAGAATGAGAGTCTTTGGAGTTCATTGCAAACAACCTCTGACTGGAAGCCGTGCAGTGTCCCAGCTCAGGTTTGATTCAGTTCAAGGTACATTGGAAGAACAAAAACTAGTTGCCAAAATTCTGAACAAACCACAAAGTTTGGTTGAAAAATATAAAACCATTTTATTAAAAACTCCACAGTGATCAATCTAAAATAAAGTGCAAGTAAAATGTCGTCTGAAATGGAAAGTTCCTCAAGGATTGTTGAGCACAGCGGCCGCCATGTTCTTGAT